ACAATAGATTTCACAATATCCCCTCCTAAAATTCTTCCTTCCAATTCTGTTCATAAATATGTCAGGCTGAGCTCATACAATTTACAAGACTTGGCACAAAACCACTGATTGAATTGTTCCCCTTGTTAATAGAGGTCAAAGTACTAGTTCTAAATAATACAACATGGTATGCTACTCAGAAATTCCAGGAGAAGCTTTTCTTGGTTTTCGGTTTTCTTCCAAGCATTTGACAACAATCATGGTATTCAGCTGCTCAAAGGAAATGGAACTTCCTTGGAAATCCCGCCTCTCCGGGTGCATAGGAAGGAGCCTAAAGATTTTGGAGACTAGAAGCGTGAGACACCTTCTGTGTAAGGGTCTCTGGTATTTTCAAAAGCATGTTGTCCTGATTTGATACTAAATTTTCTCTGTGTTTAACTAGACCTCTACTAAAACTTAAAACAAGTTGGAGTAAATACTTAGACTTTCCAGAGTTGTGTGTGTGTGTGTGGGGGGGGGGGGGGGAGTCTAAGAATTTTCACATTAAAAACACATGGTAGGGGCTGGAGTGATAGCACAGCGGGTAGGGCGTTTGCCTTGAACGCGGCCAACCCAGGTTCGATTCCCAGCATCCCATAGGGTCCTCTGAGCACCGCCAGGGGTAATTCCTGAGTGCAGAGCCAGAAGTAACCCCTGTGCATTGCCGGGTGTGACCCAAAAAGCAAAAAAAAAAAATAAAATAAAATAAAAACACATGGTAATACAGAATGATGAATTACATTGGGATAGATATTAACAAAACAGAATAATGGCTACAACTTCACATCAGTATATTCTAAATAATCAAAGTGTATAGATACCATCAAGCTGCTTCTTAGGGGCCTCATAGTTTCGTTCTGAAGGAAACCATCCCAGTAGGTTCTGATGAAGCAACTTACAAGACCCCTGTATCCACAAGTGGGGTCCCAGTATTCACAAATAACCTGACCCCTGTAGCTAAATCTCACCGTGTTAGCTTAAGGGACTCCTGACAGTTGAATCCAACAAGTCCATCTTTTATTCTGATCACTGCTTTACCGTGAGCCATTCTGCCCTACTTCCTGCTGGGTTACTAGTGTGACCAGAATGTTCCTGGTCTTAACCCCTGAGAGCTCCTGAAAGCCCCTGTGCTACCCATATTCTACTTGCTGTTGGGTTACTAGTGTGAACATCACATTCCTGGTTTGAGCCCTGAGAGCCCTGAGGCTGATCGGGTGACCGGTGGGAGAGCATCTCCTGGGAGGCAGCTGGTCACCTCACTTCCTGCCTCCCCATCAGGCGAGGCTCCCGCCTCTCTTCTGCGCATGCCCATCTCCCTTTCAGCTGAACCATCACATCTCTCTGTCTGAATCCTCATGGGGCCAGCACATATCTTTGGGCTCAGACGACTCTGCGTTAAATCAGACCCTCCCCGCACTCCTTGAGTCCTCAGGCCAGCGGCCAGCTTCACCTCCACTGTCTCATATCCCAAGGTGCTTTCTAGTTGTGATGCCAGGTGGTGCTGGGTGCTGGACTGTCCCCAGTGCCCATGCCAGCCACGGAAAGAGCCTTTGCACTGCATGACCCACGACTGGCCCCAGCTGTGTGGGGAGAACAGCTTCCTTTCAAGCTCAGAAAAGCTGAGACTATGATAATCCCATGTCCCTCCTAGAGCAGGCGAGGCTGGATGGACATTTTGGGTCACTGACAGTAGAGTTGCCACCCAGCCTCAGTCTGGGGGACTCCATATTCTTTCTTCATTGGAGGGTTAAGATGCAGGGGCCGGGACGCTAGCTCGAAGGGCTAGAGCACCCAGAGCCACCCAGTGCTGCTGTGTGTAGTCCCAGTGGCCCCCACACTGCTGGCAAGGTCCCCCCAAATAAAAGGATCTTAATTGCACAGGGTTTGTGGAGACCCCATCAGTGCACAGGCAAGTTGGGTTTTGTTGGTTTTTTTTTTTTTTTTTTTTGTGGTGCTGCGCTGCAACCCAGAACCTTACCCAGGCAAGACCCAAGCTCCACGCTGAGCCCCAGCCCCACTGCACAGCAGTCCTGGAAGGGATATGTCCAGCCAGAAGCCCCAGAGGCAGGGGTCTTCGCCTCCTCAGAAATTCCTCTTCTCTGGTCATGATGTTGGAGTACATGCAAAAGGAACTTAGAGATTTGGGAGAACAGAAGGAAGAGACTCTGTGAACTCAACATTTCTTCTAAGAGGGAGGAGTCCAATCAGGACTTAACCTCAAATTCTGTCACCCTGTCCTCTGTCCATACTGTTGCTTACCTTGACAGTTATCTTGCCCAGTGCTGGGACTTAGATCAGGGCCATGTCACAAAGCACCGAAGCTGGGGTCTGCTCTGCGCTGCCCCTGTGCATTCTTTGTGCATTCGTTTGAAGCAGCCAAAAAGGAATGTCGGTTTTAGCTGCGACAACTACAGCAGTTTCCCAAGAAGTACTCAGCCTGACCATGCCACTTGGTTGTCCTGAGAATCAGTTACAGTTACTCTGTTGAGTTTGTAGGTTTGTATTCGTGCTTTGTGGAGAGTTGAACTAAAAGCAGAATCTCCTAGGTGCCTGTGGGATAGCTTAAAGGACTGTGGGGCTGTGCTGTCCTTTTGGGAGTCACTGCCTGCGATCTGAACACCAAGTAGACCCCAAAGCACCGAGCTGGATTAGCCCCTGAGCACTGAAGTAGCACCACCAGGCTTGGCTCCTAAACAAAACAAATAAGCAGTCAGTATTGGGGGCCACATGTGGACAAGTGGAGGCAGCTAAATAGCTTTTTGTGGTCATCAGCTTCCTTTTTTCCTTCTTTCCTTCCTTCTCCTTCCTTCTTTTCCTCCCTTCCTTCTCCTTTCTCCTTCCTTTCTCCCTTCCTTCTCTTTCCCTCCCACCCTTCCTCCTTACCTCCCTCCTTTCCTCCCTCCCTCCCTCCCTCCCTCCCTTCCTTCCTTCCCTCCCTCCCTCCCTTCCTTCCTTCCTTCCTTCCTTCCTTCCCTCCCTCCCTCCCTCCCTTCTTCTTTCTCCCTTCTTTTCTTCCTTACTTCTCTTCCTTCCTTCCTTCCTTCCTTCCTTCTCTTTTCCTCCCTTCCTTCCCCTTCCTTCCCTTTCCTTCCTCCCTTTCCCTCCCTCCCTTCCTTCCTTCTTTCCCTCCCTTCCTTCTTTCTTTCTCCCTTCATTTCTTCCTTACTTCTCTTCCTTCCATCCTTCCTTCCTTCCTTCCTTCCTTCCTTCTTTCCTTCCTCCCTCCCTCCCTCTCTCACCATCCTTCCCTCTCTTCCACTTACCTTTCCTCCCTCCCTAGTCATTCATTGAGCGCAGGGCTCTAAGCCCATTCTAGAAGACTGAGCAGACCATGAGCAGGGCCCATAAGGGATTCTGGTTTGGGGAAAGAGTGTGGACACAAATTGGGGGCCTCAGGGCTTGTGAGAGGAAGGAGAGGGACAGTATTTGGTCTAAGTCATTGTGTCTGGATTCCTGGTCCTTCAGTATCACCCTCCCTTGCCCCCTGTTATCTTGATGGTTGAAGATTCACAGAATCTTCCAGGTGGTAACACATTGGTTGTAGCTCTCTCTTTTGGGGTATCTGCCGTGCTCAGGGCTTACTCCTGCTCCTTGCTCAGGGATCACTTCTACCGGAGCTCAATGAACCATATTGGGGAAGGGGAGAAGAGGGGCATGAACCCCTGTCTGCTAGGTGCAAGGCTTGTACTGTCACTCCTGCTCCTTCTGGGGCACTTCATAGAGAACAAGCAGCTGAATGCATCTTGTTCCTCATTACACCGAACCCACTTAAGCTATGTTGAGTTCCACGTGGGCTGCCAATTCACAGCCACATACTTCGGATAGCTTTTATGTGCAGTGTTTCATAATTAAGATCTTCCATTTCAAATAACGAAAGAAGATAGTTGAGTGGATATCTGGGCTTATTTTTTCCATTCCTACTGTTTATCAAAGGTTTATTATTATTATTATATAGCACAGCGGTAGGGCATTTGCCTTGCACGCAGCCAACATGGCCGACCCGAGTTCGATTCCTCCGCCCCCCTCGGAGAGCCTGGCAAGCTACCGAGAGTATCTTGCCCGCACAGCAGAGCCTGGCAAGCTGCCCGTGACGTATTCGATATGTCAAATACAGTAACAACAAGTCTCATGATGGAGACGTTACTGGGCCCACCAGAGCAAATCGTTGAACAATGGGAGGACCGACCAACCGTTATTAGTGAAACACCATGAGTTGTAGATTTACAAACTTTCCTGCTTGGATTGCAGTTATACAGCCATCGAGTACCCATCCCTCCACCAGCAGTGCCCATTCTCCACCACCAATGATCCCAGTAGCCCTCCCACCCACCCCCCACCCCACCCTGCCTCTGTGGCAGGGCATTCCTTTCTGCTCTCTCTTTCCTTTTGGGTGTTGTGCTTTGCAATAGCGGTATTGAGTGGACATAGTGTTCCATCTATAGACTACTTTAGCACACATCTCGCATCCCGAGTAAGTCCTCCAAACACCCTTTTCTTGGTGTTCCCTTCTCTATCTGAGCTGCTTTTCCCCCCAGCATGTGCTGCCAGCTTCCAAGCCGTGGAGCAGACCTCCTAGTACTTATCTCAACTATTCTTGGGTGTTCGTCTCCCATTCTTTTACTTTATATTCCCCAGATGAGTGCAGTCTTTCTATATCAAAGGTTTTTACTTAAACAAGCTCAGCAAATCCAAGAGATTACGGCCCTGTTTGAATGCATCACCCAGAATTTATCTTTTTTTCCCAACAGCCCGCATCCTTCCCCTCTGCCCCATCTCTGCAAGGGGTGCTCACTGCGCTGTGTTTTGCGTTGCAGGCGCTGCCCCGCGCCGAGGAGCCGGAGCCGGATGCGCGCTGCAGCGGGCGTGCGAGCCAGGCGGCTGCGCCCCGGAGGGCCGACGACCCCGACGACCGCGACGACCGCGAGGACGGCGAGAGCAGTTGGGGGCCGGCGCCCGCCGACGCGCACGCGAGCCGGGAGAGCATGAGCGCAGCCCGGCAGGGCGGCGGCGGGCGGGCGGCGGCGGCGGCGGGGCCCGGCGCGGGGCCCGCCCCGACGTGTGAGAACGGCGGCTGCGGCGCGGCGGACGCCCGGGAAGCGCGGCCCAGCGCGGCCAAGCTCCTGCGTCTGCTGTCGGGGGGCCGCCCGCGGCTGGCCGGCGCCGAGCGGCCCCGCTCCGTGGTGCTGGTGCGCAGCGCGTCCACCTGGACGGCGCTCGCGTCCCTCCGCAAGGCGGGCTCGTTCAAGCGGCTCAAGGCGTCCGTGCTGCAGGGCATCCAGAGCCGCGGCGACGGGGCGCGCGGGGCGCGGGACAGCACCGCAGCGCCGGGGCCGCCGAAGTCCGTCCCCAACGGCGCGCCCTGCGCCTGCCCGCCGGCCCGGGGCCCCTCCCCCGCGCGCGCGGGCGCGTCGGACGGCTCGGACCCGGAGGAGACGGCCGACGACGCCTTCCAGCGCAGCACGCACCGCTCCCGCAGCCTGCGCCGCGCCTACGGCCTGGGCCGCATCCGCCTGCTGGACGCCGACGCGCCGCCGCCCCGCGCCCCGGGCCCCGCCGGCCCCAGGAGCCGGAGCTCGGACGGCGCGCGCTCCCCGGCGCAGAGCACTTGCAAGCGCAAGTTCGCCGCCAGCCTGGCCGAGCTCAAGAGCGCGCGGGACCAGCCGGCCCCCCGGAGGACGCTGAGCAGCTCGTCGGCCGACTCGGAGCGCTCGGGGGGCTCGGAGAGAAGCACCAAGCGCTGGAAGAGCCCGGTCCGCGTCCTGAGGCTGGTGAGCGGCTCGGCCGAGGGCGCCTGGCGGAGGGAGGCGGCCCGGGAGCCCCCGCCGAAGCCCCGGCCCCGCAGCGCGCTGCACGACGACTACTCTCGCCGCGCGTCGGCGGGCAGCGAGCAGGCGCGCAGGGGCCGATCGGCATCCCTGCACAGCGTGTACGCAGCCGTGGACTTCGGGTCCGTGCCCGTGGTGGACGTGGACACGGCGGTGTTTCCCCTCGAACCCGCACCCCCCGCGGCATCTGCGTCCGCAGACGCTGGACCAGGAGCCGGTGATGCAGCATCCAGCTCAGCTGCGCCGGGAAGCGCGGCCGCATCCAGCTCAGCTCAGGAAAGGCGTGGAGAGCTGTCGGATGCCCAGAAACCCGGCCGCCCGGCTCCCGGGGATCCCGAACACCTGATCTCCCCGCCCAGGCCCGCCACGCCCAAGCCCCGCAGTCCGCAGAGCCCGTGTGCTGGGGGTCTCCGCAGCCTCAGCTCGCGGCCCTTGAGCGCGGTGACTGGTGAAGACGGAGCCCAGGTGCCCTCATCCCTCCGGGATTCTGCATCCAGCAGGAGCGACGATGATGGCCTTCTAGACCCGGCCGGCAACCATGCCCCATCGAGTCCCAGGGAGGAAGGGAGAGAAGAGGTAAGGACTGGGCTTGTCCGGGTAATGCTGCTGTGGGTGTCTACCCTGGCGTTGCCCTGCGAGTTCCGAGTCTCGTGCCCGTCTCCTGGAGAATGAGCAGGGCCCGGCGAGCGCCTGGAACTCGGCGAGATGTTGTTGACCTCCTGTCCCTGGGGAATGTGTGGCATCTGTGAAACCCTGTGCAATGCCACTGAACCTGCAGCTGAGCTCCATGTCCGTCCCCAGCGTGGATGTTAGTGGCAGTGTCTTCCCTCCCCCCTCCCCGCTCTTTTAGCGTTTGAGTCGCACCCTGTGGTCTCAGGGTTTACTGCTGACTCTGCGCTCAGATAACTCCTGGGGGGTGGGCTGGGTTTGGGGGGGGAACTATATGCGGTGCTGGGGAATCGAACCCAGGAGCCAGCAGCGCGCAAGGCAAGAGCCCTATCCTTTGAACGATTTCTCAGAGCTTTCCTTTTCCCTCCCACTTCCCCCTCGCCCCATTCCAGTGAGGTGTCTGGCCTTAAAGAAGTTTCTTTGCCGTAATGGCGAGGTTTGGTTTCTGTCACCCCCTGCTTTAAAGAAATTTCTCTGAGCGTTCTGTTTTCAGGGTGGAACTGAAACCTCCACTGCTTCTATAACTGGTAGCTGTTGAAGCTTCAGGAGCAGTGTTCTTTTCCTGCGGGTCAGGCATCTCATTCATTTTCCTTCTCTGCATGATCTTCCCTTTATAACTGCATTCACTGGCACCCCCTACAGAGCTGAGAGAGGAGGAAGCCTGTCCACACACCTGTTGCAGATCACTCCCCCAAATGCACCACAGGTATAAATTGGCTCTCGCCTTAGTAAATCAGCCCTTAACGTCCCAGTCTTGCCCCAGCCCCTGGGGAGGAACTGAGTTTTGCCTTCATGCCCAGAAGCCAGGTCTGTCTCCAAGCTGCTCTGTATTTTTGCTACACAGAGAAACTTAGCAAGAGAAGCCTGTGTGTCACAGTCAGCCTCAAGAATCCCAGGCACCAGGAGGAGTGACCGCCTGACTTTCTGTGGAGGGAGGCTTATGGGGAAATCTCAGGGCTGGTCACCTTCTAGGAGTTTTGTCTGTTCACTCCCTTGCATATTTCCAGAGAAGCCTTGTGGGATAGTTGTAAGGACAGGGCTGGTTGCCAGCCTTGGGAAAAGCTTTCAGTCCTGCAGACTGTGGTCGAAGAATTGACTGAGTCCCAAACCTGTCTGGGCTCTCCTGGTGAGGCTGAGATGGATTCTTATTTCTGCCACCAGCTCTACTCATGGAGGATTTGTGCAGATCTAGAAGGTTCTTGATGTTAAAGGTTAGCGTGAAAATTGTGTAGATGTTGATAATTCTACAAAATTCCTTCAAGAGTACACATGTCAAATCTGCATGCAGTGTAGTACTGTACTCTCCTCCCGTTGTTCATCGATTTGCTCGAGCGGGCCCAGTAATGTCTCCATTGGAGACTTTGTTGTTACTGTGTTTGGCTTATCAGATACGTCACGGGTAGCTTGCCAGGCTTTGCCGTGCATTTCCACAAAATTTCTATGTAGCCATCAAGCTTCCTCTTGTTCTTTTATTGTTTGTTTGTTTTTGATTTGGGTCCACACCCAGCAGTGCTCAGGGCTTATTCCTCGCTCTCTGCTTAGGGATCACTCCTGGCAAGGCTCAGGGAACCATATGGGATGCCCTGGATCAAATCCAGGTTGACCACAATCAAGGCAAACATTCCACCTGCTGTACTGTCAGTCTGACCCTTTCTCTGATTTTCTTTCAAAGTCACACCGTCATACTGTCCTCCCGTTGTTCATTGATTTGCTCAAGCGGGCCCAGTAACGTCTCCATTGGAGACTTTGTTGTTACTGTGTTTGGCTTATCAAATACGTCACGGGTAGCTTGCCAGGCTCTGCCGTGCGGGCTCTCTGAGAGGGGCGGAGAAATCGAACTCGGGTCGGCCATGTTGGCTGTGTACAAGGCAAACACCGTACCGCTGTGCTATCGCTCCAGCCCTTCTTTCAAAGTAAATATTAAATTTTAAAAGTCTGTGATGGTTTTGCTCAGTTTACATTTTATACATTGCAATCTTCTCTGTCAACTGGGAAAGAAGTGTTTGTAAAATATAAAATGAAACATTCCCTTTATTTGACATTTAGGGAGGAAAAAATCAAAAATGAAATGAAAACATATGAAGAATTGCAATAATTTTAACCATTATGGGTTCAAAAGTTTTTGTTTAGTGGCTCATTACAGAAAAAGAAAGTTGTTTTTACTCTATTTTAATGTACAGTATATCATTTTTATTTGCTTATTTGATAATTCTACCATTCAGAGGTTGTACTTACATTTAATAGTAGGTTAATCTGTGGTTATTGTTGACTATAAAAGTTGTTAACTTTCGGGCTCAGCAATAAGTTGTTTTACTGAATAAAACAATTTTATTAAATAAATTAAAAGCTGTAGAAAATGGAATTTAAAATAAGTATGACACAATTTCTAGTAAAGGAAAATGTATTTTTATTTAGAGTATGTATTTACAATGGAATATTCTAAACGTGACAAAGTAATCTTTTAAAATTGTCAGCAGTTTAACAGGAATTTATGTGGCTTTAATAATCTTTGGGAATATCAGAATGTTCAGAAAATCAACTCATGAGTGTCACAGTCCTGCCCCCTAGTGGTAAGCGTGTTCTAAGCCCAGTGGCCTGAGAATAACAGGAGTCCTGACAGACACTTCATCAACATTATCACACTATGGGGCTGGAGACAAAGTACAGCAAATAGAACATTTGCCCGCTGCCAACTCAAGTTTGATTCCTTCATCCCATATGGTCCCCTGAACCTGCCAGGAATGATTCCTGAGTGGAGAGCCAGAAGAAAGTAAGCCCTGTGCACCACCCCGCCCAATGCAGTTTACCTTTCCTGCTGTTGAGAGCCCTAACTGTTCTCTTGAGAAGGGCCAGGCACTGTGTTGTTGCTGCTTTTCCTCCCTAAGCACACAGTAACTCCTTTGGGGGGCGTCAGAGAGCCCTCAAAGAGAGACCTGTATGTGCTACGTACAAACTCAGTGGGCTTGGATAGTGCGATTTATGCTCTATAGGAAACTTTTCTTTCCTTATGGACTTACATTTGGGGTTACACTGAGCACGACTCAGCTACTCCTGGTATGTTGCTTTCGGTTCATGCCTGGTGGTACTCAGGGGACCATGCGGTGACACAGGTCATATTCAGGGTTCCCACATGCCGTGCCTGTCCTCCAGCCCTCTGAGCATCTCCTAGGCCTCGATGAGGATCTTTCAAATGAGAAACCATGTGACTCCTTCACAGGGTGTTCTGTGAATATTAATCTTTTGGTAAATGTTTGCAGTTGATTGTTGTCTTAGCTCTGCTACTGAAAGTTTGGTGATATTGGGATAATTGTTGAACTTCTCTTGTTTCAGTCTTCTCAAGGGTGCCAGGTAGAGTTGTTTGATTTGCCCCAGACTAGTAAGAGTTGAAGTGAGGCATATCAGACACTTAACCCAGAATTAACACTGGTTGTCCCCCTTGTGATTGGTGATTTATTTTATCCTACGTGCACGTAACCTGATTTCTTTAGATTTCAACTGCTAGTTAGCATTTCTTTCTTTTTTTTTTCCTTTTCCTTCAAAGTAGTTTTGATACTCCGTTGTCATAGTCTCAGATAAAACTGAACTTTTCAAATAATTAGTTTGGCTTTGTGTTCGAAATAAATGCATGAGAGTTAGGGATTCCAATAAAACCAAGTATTTCTACGTTCACTCAATAATGAATCAAATGTATTGCTACCAGATAAAACACTTAAGTATTTTATCTGTAAGGCAGCATTCCTCAAACTTCCACACCTGTCTGCATACTCAGCGGCTGGAGGGTCGGCATACTTAACCACAGGTCTGCACTATGACCCACTGAGGTATGTCCTTGGTTTTCAACCTCTCTAACCCTACAGACCAGCAGTTGTATGGGGATCAGTGGTTGAAAACTTTTATTCTAAGGTTTACTGGATGATATCAAGGAGATGATGAGTAAGTTAAAGTCAGCTAAGTTACAGAGGAACTGTGCAGAATGTACTACGTTCCATAAAAGAGGCAAACCTGTAATGCTAGAGAGTGGGGGAGAGTTTCAGAGGAGTTTCTTGCTCCTGGGCCATGGTGTAAGGTGACCACATTTTTACAGTGGGCTTACTCCTGGCTCTGCGCTCAGGGGTCATTCCTGGTGGGATTCAGGGGACCATATGGGGTTCTGGGGATCGAATCTGGGTTAGTCGCTGTACTGTCGCTCCAGCCCTTGAGTATTAACCAAATTTCAGTTGAGGAAAGGCGAGGTGGCTGTAGAGGGTTATGAAGAAGAAGGTGGGACATTTCAGTGACCAGATAGGCTTAGGCTTTCTAGATCTAGAGAACGGGAGTGACATCATGAGGTTTGGTAAACTGGGGTGGGGGGCGTCGGAGGGGGCTCAGATCATGGGATTCCAGTTCAGGAATTCATATGCTACTGAGTACAGGGAGCCAGGGATTTTTCTGAATAGAAAAGGCAACCCCCAGAGCTATATGTTTCAGAACTGCAATGATGCAGCACATACGAAGTAAGAGAATTAGAAAGTTTACCAGAAAGGAACCAATGAGTTTATTACCCAGGGGAGCCCAGAGGCAAGAAGGCTCTGAAATATGGACATAGAAATGGAATGTGTCAGGTAGGAAGAGAGGAGTGAACGAGCAGCACAGAGTAAATAACAGTATGCTTAGTCATTCAGCAGTTTTCTCACCTACCTGATATTCCAGGTAGAGGAGAAAGGAAGGGTGGTTGTCCAGCCCTCCTCCCCAAGCGATCTGTATTCTTTTAGGTTTACAGTATGATGGGTTGATTCAAATGTCTGCAAATCGTGATGGTGATGCAAAGTGACAGATGTCTAATGAGAAGTGTACAAAGTACCCTGTGAGTACAAAATGATTAACTCTGGTGCAGAGGAATGTCGTTAGAGACAGGTAGTGGCTGGGGCCCTTCAGAAGACCAGGGTGGGGGGCAGAGGCTTGAAAGGAGGAGTATGGAGATCAGATGGCTAAGCTGAGTGGTTCTCTCATGTCTTCTGTTGTTC